TTTTTTTATCTTTTTTAGGGAAATTATGTAAGTTTTTATATATGCTATTCTTTCAATGTAGTTTAAAAAGCTCTCAGCGCTGCACTTGTCACAGTTAAGTCCACCCTCCCGCTCCTTAAACAAGGAAGATCATGTTTGATATATCTGGCATTTCTAAAGTAGAAGGTAAAACACAAATATGCTTTAAGTAAACATTTTCTTCCATCCAGCATAAATGACTGAAAAAAACTGCTATCACCTTTTCCCAAAGATTGCATATAAAACCTAACAAATAAAGTCTTATCATATTACTCTCTCTTTCAGGGGCTCTAAACTCACCACTGAAGCTCAAAAGCAAACCATGGTAGACATCTGGGTGCAAGCCTGGATTGTGAGCCAACACCAAGGACCCTGCTAATGCTGAAGCTTCAAATCTCATGATATGAGAAGGGCTGGCTCTTCCCAGTACCCCAGACAAGGAGCAGAGGGTCCTAGTTCCTGAAACCTCACTGAAATTCTGTCTGTCTCCCTGGTCATTTGTATCATGTTTACTGACACAACCTCTGAGCCCTCAGTCCTTTACTTGTCTCCAAGCCTTGGAGTAATTTAGCTCTTACATTGAGCCTCTGAGTAATCAAATAACACTGTTTCCTTTCTGGTTCTCCTGTGTGTCTTCAAACTCCAGTGCATCTTCCATAACACATTAAGGTAGAAAACTCTGCTTCCCTACTGCCTGTATTATAGAGAAACAGACATGCTTTCTTAGGCAAAAAAATACAGATGGATATTCCACTGCCTACCCTCTGCCTTGCACTTCTCCCTTTCCTCTTCTACCTCCTTCTCCTCCTCCTCTCCATCCTCATGCCTGTGCTCCAGGGCTCTCCAGGGGTCTTATGCTGATCATTCTCCACCACTGTGAGAAATACCTTCATATTTATGATATTCTGCCTCCATCTTAAAAACACTTAGTTACCTGGGGTATTCTCAGTATTAACTGGAGCCACACAAACATCTGTTTGTATGCTGCAGATAAATTGCTCTTTGAGGCCTGCCTACTTAACACTGCATCTAGAAACCAGGCACTCCTCTTCTGAAATATTGTTGAATTTGTTGTTTGTTTCCTTGTCACTTATGAAACTGGTTGTTTGTTGTTTTTTTTTTTTCTAAAATCTGAAATGTCAGCAATGTTCGAAGTAGCTGAGTCTACACAATGGTCCAGCTTGGATGTTCCAAATTTATCTCTATCCCTTCTCCAGGCTCAAGCATTAGGGTTTAAGCAGTTACTGGATATAAATCCAGATTACTTTAGGGTTTTTTAGTTAAGGAATCTGAAAAGCAGAGTATGCTGCTTCCAATAAAAGCATTTTTCTTTGTAACAAATGGAGAAAAAATAGCAATATGCAGTAGGAACCTGAGAAATAAGTTATAAAATATCATTTTTACAATCTTCAAACATGAAATAAGCAGGATTTGCTAAGTTAAAAGAGAAAGCAAAATCACATTATAAATGACCAAAGGATTCATTACTGTTGAATTCTTTTTCAAAAGAGCAATTTGGGATATGTGGGTGAATGTGACCTGATGGAGAATCTTTCCCTTTTCTCTCCCGTAGTGGTGTGTGCAGCAAGATGAGACAGTTCTGTAAACTAACCATCATAAGCAAAGATTTAAAAATCTCTGAGGACTCAGAAATATCACAACTTGATAGAACCCGCAGTGCTTGGGATGAAGTGCTGACACTCTGTCATTCACTGCACTGTCTATATATTCCTTTTCATAAACAAAGCACTAGTAAAGTTTACTTCAGGGAGGACCATTTAATGCCTGAGCCATGTACGTGCCTGCATAACAAAAACATCGCCTGCACCAGTTTGTGTGTTAAAGGAACAGTTTGGAAATCTCAGTTCAAAAGAGAATTCTCTTACTGCCTTCATAACTTCATACCTGAGATGACCCACTGCACGCTACAACTGCACTGCTGCTAAATTGCCAGGTACATTGATGTCAGAGAACAAAAGTGAGAGGGGTAAGAGCTTGTTACAATAATAAAAGGAAATGCATGAACAAAGATGACCCATGCCAGTGCATGTGGGAGAGCAGCAGAAAGTCCTGCCTCCCCCGAGAGGGTGATGCTTAATCATAGAATAGTTAGGGTTGGAAAGGACCTTAAGATCATCTAGTTCCAGCCCCCCTGCCGTGGGCACAGACACCTCACGCTAAACCATGACACCCAAGGCTCTATCCAACCTGGCCTTGAACTTCACCAGAATGGAGCATTCACAACCTCCCTGGGCAACCCATTCCAGTGCCTCACCACCCTCACAGTAAAGAACTTCTTCCTTATATCCAATCTAAACTTCCCCTGTTTAAGTTTTAACCCATTACCCCTTGTCCTATCACTACAGTCCCTAATGAAGAGTCCCTCACCAGCACCCTTGTAGCCCCCCTTCAGATACTGGAAGGCTGCTATGAGGTCTCCATGCAGCCTTCTCTTCTCCAGGCTGAACAGCCCCAACTTCCTCAGCCTGTCTTCATACAGGAGGTGCTCCAGTCCCCTGATCATCCTCGTGGCCCTCCTCTGCACTTGTTCCAACAGTTCCATGTCCTTTTTATGTTGTGGACACCAGAACTGCACACAATACTCCAAGTGAGGTCTCACGAGAGCAGAGTAGAGAGGCAGGATCACCTCCTTCGACGTCACACTCCTTTTGATACAGCCCAAGATACAATTGTCTTTCTGGGCTGCAAACCCACACTGAAGCCAGATCATGTTCATTTTCTCATCAGCCAACACCCTCATGTCCTCTACAGGGCTGCCCAACCTGTAGCTGTGCCTGGGATTGTCCCAACCCAGCTATGGGACCTTGCACTTGGCTTAGTTAAACTTCATGAGGTTGGCATCAGCCCACCTCACAAGTGTGTCGAGGTCCCTCTGGATGGCATTCCTTCCCTCCAGTGTATCAACCGAACCACAAAGCTTGGTGTCATCAGCAAACTTGCTGAGGGTGCACTCAATCCCACTGTCCATGTCAGCGACAAAGATGTTGAACAAGACCAGTCCCAACACCGATCCCTGAGGCACACCACTTGTTACTGGTCTCCAGCCGGACACTGAGCCATTGACCACAACTCTTTGCACGCAGCCATCCAGCCAGTTCTTTATCCACCGAGTGATCCACCTATCAAATCAGTGTCTCTCCAATCTAGAGACAAGGATGTCGTGTGGGACACTGTCAAACGCTTTGCACAAGTCCAGGTAGATGATGTCAATTGCTCTACCCCTGTCCATCAGTTCCGTCATAGAAGGCCACCAAACTGGTCAGGCAGGATTTCCCCTTAGTGAAGCCATGCTGGCTGTCACCAAGAACCTTGTTGTTTCTCATGTGCCTTAGCATGCCTTCCAGGAGAATCTGCTCCAAGATTTTGCCAGGCACAGAGGTGAGACTGACTGCTCTGTAGTTCCCTGGGTCATCCATTTAACACTTCTTGAAAATGGGGGTTATATTTCCCTTTTTCCAGTCATTGGGAACTTCACCTGACTGCCATGATTTCTCAAATATGATGGCCAGTGGCTTAGCAGCTTCATTCGCCAGCTCCTTCAGGAGCCGTGGATGGATTTCATCAGGTCCCATGGACTTGTGTACATTCAGGTTCTTAAGATGGTCTCAAACCAGATCCCCTCTTACGGTGGTCTTCATTCTCACAGTCCTTGCATATGCATTCCAAGATTTGGGTGGTACGGTCAGAGCCTTTGCCAGTGAAGACGAAGGCAAAGAAGTCATTCAGAACCTCAGCCTTCTCCAAATCCAGGATAGCCAGTTCTCCCAATAACTTCCGGAGAGTGCCAACGTTGTGCCTAGTCTTTCTTTTACTCGCTATGTACCAACAGAATCCCTTCCTGTTATCCTAAACATTCTAGCCAAGTTTAATTCTAACTGAGCCTTGGCTTTCCTAACCTGGTCCCTAGCTTCCCTGGCAACATCCCTGTATTCTTCCCATGCCACCTGTCCTTGCTTCCACCTTTCCACTTTTTTTCTTCAAATTTTCCTCGGCAGCTCCTTATCCATCCAAGGAGGTCTCCTGGCCCTCCTGCTGCACTTCCTTCTAGCTGGGACGCAACACTCCTGAGCTTGTAGCAGGTGATCCTTGAATATCAACCAAGAGTCTTGAGTCCCCCTGCCCTCTAGGGCTATGTCCCATGGAACCTTACTAAGCAGGTTCCTGAAGAGGTCAAAGTCTGCCCCCTTGAAGTCCAGGGCAGTGAGTTTGCTGCACACTCTTCTCACTGTCCTGAGGATCTAGAATTCAACCGTCTCATGATTATTGCAGTCAAGGTTGCCCTGGAGAGAGTTCAAGGTCTGGAGCTGTTCCAGACCCCTCCTGAAGCAGGCAGCCCTCCACACACACTGCTGGCACCACACCTTGTGCTGCCCTTGCAGCCTTCACTGCATGGGGAGCAGGTTCTCGCATGGGCTCAACCTTGATGAGCACTGCTGGAGGACGTGGCTGGGCAGGGTTGAATTCCAATCCCATGAACACATCCCAAGTGCAGCACATGAGCACTGCTCAGGTCACTCACTGACTGCTTGTGGGACAGGGAAGGAGCAAAGGAGATGGTCCTGGCCCTGTGGAGTTGGCCAGCGCAGCCTTTACCCATTTTATTGATTATTTAAGCACCAAAGTGTGTCTCTGTCATCTCAGGGGTTCACATAATGATTGCCCAGTGTCACCCATGATGCTGCAGCCCCTTCGGGGCTCATCCCCATCCCCTGCTCACAGCAGTTCTGGAACTCTGGTGTGATGTCACAGCCCACATTACAGTGACAACTGCCCATGCCCAGACACCAACACAGACCTTCACCCCTGAACCCACACTTTTCCTCTGCTCCCACCTGCCTGCTCCATCCCTTCTGCCCTGTTCCTGCTCTGTCCTTCTGCCCTGCTCCCAGCCCTTTCTGCTTGTTCCCATCCCTACTGCCTTGTTCCCTGCCCCTCGGGCACTATATTTGAGCGTTCAAATGCAGCCCCCAAAGAAGTCCACCCTTGTCCTGTTGGTGGCCGAGCTCAGCCCTTGCGGAGGCGAGGATGCAAAGGGCTGCCTTCGTAGAGTAAGGAGCCTGTGGGTGCCAAGGCAGGTGTGGGGCCGGGTCTGTGCCCTGGTCCTGCAGGCAGGGAGCACGGCCACTCACCCCTCTCTGCTCTGGCAGGTCCTGAAGCCCTTACCGCCCCGCAACGTGCTGAAGTGAACCAGGTGAAGGATCCTCCAGCTGCACGCGCCAGCCTGTCAGAGCTGGTGGGTGCTGCTGGACAAGCTCCTGCTGGGGATGGGCCCGGGGCCCCAACACCCCACGGCTCTGCCCGCGCAGTGAGAGGACACCGGGGTGCCCAGACCAGCTGTGCTCCGCTGGTCTGGGCAGCACCAATGCACTCTGCTGCTTGGCTTTTGCCTTAGGCTATTCCAACATGTGCGGGAGCTGGAGGAAGAGGCCGCCAGCAGGACCCAAGTGGGTCTTCAGGGGGAACCAGTGGAGGTGGAGGAGGCAATGGGTACGGACTGATGAGCGGTGAGGCAGCACGTGCCCCCTATCCACTGCTGGCAGTGAGCGTGGGTCGGCTGCTGCCGCACTGGGGCTGGGGCTGTGTGTGACGGCCCCGCTGCAGGGACACGGGGCCTGGTGGCCTCATCCTGGCGGCACAAGCGCCACCACCGCGCTGCCCTGCGCTGCCTCTGGGACACGCGAGCCGAATCTGATCGGGTAGACCCGGCTCCCAGCCCCAGCCAGGGCTGAGGCCGGCGGCAGAGTCCCTCTCTCCCCAGTGTGTGGCAAACACAATGACCATCAGTAGCCTCACTGAAATGACCTCGTGCTGCTTGTTTCCAGGGCTGCTGGAGATGGGAGTTTTCACGGTGTTTGAAGTTTTTTCTATAAAAGTTCCTGTTTTTTCCGAAGATTGTTGTTTTCTCCGAAGATTGTTCATTTTTCCATAAGAGTTGTAGTTCTTGATAGAATAGGTGTAGTTTTAAGAACAAGTTGTACTTTTAGGTAGAATAGTTGTCGTTTATGTAGAAGAGTTGTATGTTTGAGAAGAACAGTTGTTCTTTGTTGCTTATTTTTTTGTTGTTTTGTAAATACATTTCTCGACGTTCTTCTGACCCAGTCTCTCTTTGTATTTACTGCGATCACACGTGGCTTTGGCAGACAAGTGGTTTCCACTTGCTCCCAGGGCTGGAGGGGCCATGAGGGCTGGCGCTGGGTGCTGGGGCACCCCAACTGTCCTCACGTAGGCTCCCTGCCCTTGCAGAGCGGCTCTTTCAGGCTCTCTGCAGCTGTGGGCAGGGATGGGCAAGGGCGAGGGACCAAAGGTCTGGGAGCTCACTCCGACTCCTCGGTGGCTGCAGGGCACCTGGTCTGGTGCTGCCATCGGGCACAGCCTGTGCCAGCACCGACCAAGGCTTCTCAGGCTGCTCCTCAAGCTGGTGGAAACACTGCCATGCACAAGGAATCAGTCATGGAATCACAGAATCACAGCGTGCCCAGGCTCAGCTCACTGTGGGGAGCAGCTTGCACCCGGCATCCTGTTGGATCCTGTGGCCCAAACCAAGCCTTTTATCCGCTTCCTTTCCCTTCCTCCCACTGACTCCCATCCTGCAGGGTGGGAAGAGGGTCTGGGCCTGGAGCTGTTTTGGAATACCAGATGCTGGCAGCTGCAGCTGGAGCCAGTGCTGTCATGTGGGACCATGCAAGCAGGCAAGGAGGGGGAGCTGCCAGCAGGAGAACGGCAGCAAGGTGCAGGGGGAGCTGCTGTGTGAATGAGATCAGAGTGGAAATGCAGACAGGGACACGCGAGTTAGAATCATAGAATAAACTCATAGAATAGTTAGGGTTGGAAAGGACCTTGCAATCATGTAGTTCCAACCCCCTTTCCATGGGCACGGACACCTCACACTAAACCATATCACCCAAGGCTCTGTCCAACCTGGCCTTGAACACCGCCAGGGACAGAGCATTCAAAACTTCCCTGGGCAACCCATTGCAGTGCCTCACCGCCCTTACAGTAACCAATCTAAACCACCTTGCCCTCATTTTAGTGTGTCCTTTAGAAAAACAGTTGAGCCTTGAAGAGTAGGAAACCCATGGAGAAAAATACTACTTGATCACCAGATTAATGACTGCCATGTAACATGTATGTATGAGGACACAGAAGGAACACGCCTGTGTCGCCAAGCCTGGGATGCTGTTACCTAATGAACGCATTTTCACAAAACACTTTCCACTAGTAGATACATTTTACCTGACAAATTATATTTTCCTTCCCTAGCATATATATATATATATGCATGCAGAGGCTGTCAAATATTCTGTATAAAATTGTACTTAATAAGAATTTTCAGCACCCTTACTAGGAAAAATGAGACTTTTCTGAAAAGCATTTGTGGGGGGAAAAATCTCCCTTTAAACTTGTTTCTGTTAAGAAATTATAGTTTTCCTGCATAAAATACAGAAATGTCATGACAGCATGTCTTTCTTTTCATCATTTTTCCAGACATTCTTTTTGTTTGTTTGTTTTTAATATGTTAAGGGGTTTTTTTACAATGTGTTTATGATGCCAGAACTAATATAATGGCTTTGTATAATGAACTTTTCCCAACAGTAATCTCATACAGTGCCAAAACATTTTCTACTCCTTACCATTGAATGCATAGCAATATTTCTTTCTGTTATGCATACTAAAAAATATGACTTTTTAGTAAATGTGAATGCAGATGCAACTGCAATGATAGATCTATTCAAATGTAACATGGACATGTCACAGCTGATCACATTATTAGATAATGTTCTACTAGCTGATAAGATAATGCTGTACTAATTATTGAGCCACATCTTTGAAAAATAAAGGTACATCATGTGGGAATATATTCAGACATTATTTCTGTCCTTCTGCATAGCCAGTGGAAGAAAAAATGATAACTATTAGTATAGACACGTACTGGTATTCTTAGGAAACTATCATCTTATGTCAACTGAAATCAGGAAAAAAATAAAAACCCGAGGCTAAGCTTCAACATTGAAAATGTTCTGGCAGTCAGGCATCTAAAATTAGATGAAATTCCACCATGGGGGCATCACCTCTGTAGTTTTAGTTGCTGAGTCCTAAAAACCCCCATCTTTGAATATATTGTCTCAGACAGTTGATTACTGAAGCTGGTATTTTGCACAACAGAGGCTGGGTTTCTCTGACTGAGATCAGTTCAACTGCAAAGTTTGTGCTTCATCTGTAAACACAAATACACCATAACACGATACTCACAAGATATTATTTGTACTTTATATATGGCCCATTTAATATCAAAAAGCTTTAAGTAACTCTTAGAGGGAATGTAGAAAAAAAAAAAAGAATTAAGCAAGGCTAGTATTGTGGTCTGGGCAGAAATTACAAAAGGAAAATGAGCAGATTTTAAAGTCAGTTCCAGGCTCATCTTGATTCCAGCTTTAATCCAGTGGGAATCATTGCACTGACTTTAATTCAGGTTGCATTAGTATTAAATTCTCTGTTCTAACTCCATTAAATATATATATATACACACATTTGCATTCATACATATGGGTGTATTTATACATAAACATATATATATGCTGTAGACCTACTAAGAACTGTAAAGAAACAGAAATACAGATGTATAAATGTACTTTACAAAATAAAAATGCCTGTGTTACACAAAGATAGATGTTATGTTATAGAATGCCATTCAATGTAATGGTACCAGATTTTAGCACTTAGCCTGCATCCCAGTTACCCATTAGCAGTTTGGGTAGCTGGGAAGTAGGAAAATACCTACTCTGAAATGTAACAATTATTTCAGGATATCTGCTTCCTAAACTTTATGTGATGGGAAGCATTTCCATGAGCAGTAACTGCTGTTTTAAACAAAAGGTTTTGATCAAGCAAAGAATAAATTGAAAAGCATTTGAGTCTTTCTGCTGCTGGGTAAAGCTCCCCTTCTAACCCCAGGCCATGATGAAGCAGAAGTCTTGCATAAAATCCTATGAAAATGTACCTATACAAGGAGACAACTGAGGACAAGCTTACAGAATATTCTGATGGCACGGTTTGCTGGTCTTTTGCATTCTTTCTTGGCTTTTTTGTGCGTTTTTAAAGCAGACACGGTGTATGTAGACAACTGCCACCTTTATTCCCAACACATGTGTCCCAACACATCTGGAAAGCCCTCACATTCAGCACATCCTCTGCCAATGATGCAAAAGCAAGCATCTGCTATGATGTGCCTTTTCAATAGCACTCAAGAGGTTGTGGAGTATAACAGAATGATATGCAGTTACTCTTTTGAAGCGTTTGTTTGATCCCGTTTTGTGATGGTGCATATAAAGATAGATAGTTGTTTCTGAGAAGTTTTAAATGAGCCCTAAGCAGATTTACAAAAGAAAGCTGTAATGATGGGGGAGAATCTAATGATGTCAAGCTTGAGAGCCCAGCTTCCTTGGCCAGAAAAGGGCAGACACCCTAAGCATGCCTTCCAGAACAGGGCCATGTTCAGAGTGCTGATGTGCTTTTCCAGTGGGCCTGAACTGCAAACATGTCTGCCCATTCCTTCCTTCTTGTTGCAGTGCCTACGCAGGGACCTGGGCAGTGATTTGACCTGGCACAGCCCGGTGCTCCAGGATCAGCTTCATCTTGCCAGCAAAAAGCAAAGGGGCTCTTTGCAGGTCTCTGTAAGCAGCACTTCCCTCTTGAGTCTCACTAGTGGATTTTGAGAAACAATTTCATTGGAAACTGTCTCCTTCCTCAGGTGAAATACTTGTGCATGTGTTCGTGTGTGTATTCATGCGCAAGCATGAGTGTGTGATTATATTATGATATAATAGGCATCACAGAAACATGGTGGGATGGCCCCTATGACTGGAATGTTGGAATGGAAGGTTACAGGCTCTTTAGGAAAGACAGGTCCGGCAGGTGGGGAGGGGGAGTTGCTCTTTATGTTAGGGATAGGCTGGAGAGTATGGAACTCTGTCTGGGGACAGGTGAGCAGTCAACAGAGAGTTTGTGGGTCAGGGTTAAAGGGAGAACAGCAATGAGAGACATTACTGTGGGGATCTGTTACAGACCGCCTGATCAAGAGGACTCTGTGGATGAAATGCTGTATAGACAGATAGGAAGAGCCTCATGTTTGCAGGCCCTTGTCCTCATGGGGGAATTCAACCACCCTGATATCTGTTGAAAGGACGGTACGGCCCGGCACAAGCAATCCAGGAGGTTCCTCGATTGTGTGGAAGACAACTTCCTTCTGTAAGTAATAGAGGAGCCGACAAGGAGAGGTGCCATGCTTGACCTCGTGCTCACCAACAGGGAAGGGCTGGTTGGAAATGTGACGCTCCAGGGCAGCCTTGGATGCAGCAATCATGAGACGGTCGAATTTGAGATCCTCAGGACAGTGAGAAGAGCGTGCAGCAAGCTCACTGCCCTGGACTTCAAGAGGGCACTTTGACCTCTTCAGGAACCTGCTTATTGAGGTTCCAT